GGCTGAATAAACTCTTTTATTTTTCAATATTTGTTTTGAAATCCGGTTAAATATTTTAATTTATTATTATTATTATCGTATTATTGACTACTTTCGGAGTCTTTAAAGACGTAGAGGCGATCACTTAAACTTTTAAATATTCTCCATTTGAGTGGTCGTAACTTACTCGACGGTTTGGAGATTTTTATAACATTCTTGTGATTTTAAAGAATACTTTATTGAGTTACATTAAACGATATAACTCTTTAAGAGCTAATAGAAAGACGTTAGAACGTATTAGTCTCAGTTTAGATACGTAAGCTAGCATCTGTAATACGTTTTATTGTAGAAGAAACAGTTTCGGTGGAAACGATATGCAAATAGATAGTTGAGACTATCTATCTATTGTCTTATGCGTCAGCCATTTGTTGAATTTCCATCTAATTATTTCCCTCAGATCAACCCCAGTCTAGACAAAGGGGATTCAAAACTTTTCTTGTTAACAAAATGCAAACGTCTGAGCAGCACCAACATTTTAATGAAAGAAAATTAAATGAATTTGCATAGGTAACGAAACGCAATTGTCATGGTAATGCTTTCCAATCGATTGCTTGGTAGCCTATCAGTTTTGGATTCGACTACGGAAAACGGGGAGCAGCAGAGGAGGAAACAACAGAAGCTGACTGGTTTTCCTCTAGGCTATATAAGCTTTCGATCGGTTTTGTTAGGAAGAGAATCTCGTTAGGGAAACGCTTTTTTTTTTGTTTTTCCTCCTCTTCTTCTTCCTCCTTCTCCTCCTCCCACCATTCTGTAGTTCCGTTGCCAAGAAGACTCGTTAACTGATAGATTCAAATACATTAGTCTCATCAGTCTATGGCGGCTCAAAAGGGAATCAATTTACGCTCATAAGATTATAGATCATCCAGAAAGCGCGTAACGAAAATTAAATCAGGCTTTATACATCATTTACAGCATCTTAATACAACCTTCCCTTCTTTGTATCAGCTATAAGCAAGCATTAAAATGTTCGATCTAAACCGGAAACGAAGCAATAAATCGAATTTATAGACATAGTTAGCTTCGATTTTTTTATTAGTTTTATATATATAACCTATATATATGTTTATATATAAGATGTCCTTTTCTTCGGAAACTAATAGACATTAAATGCTGAAGGAACAATCCTTTTTAAGTTAGTCGTTTTCAGTTGTGTAATTCCGATGGGAACGGTCAATCTGAAGGCAAAAGTGGCTACCAGACTCATTGATCGAATGTCGTTTAGAAATAATTGAATGTTTTCCGGTTCTTCTCCGAAGAACTACAGAATCTAAAGAATATCTGACATAGTAGCAATTTATAGAAACGAGAGAATGTTATATCTTATTTTAATCTATAAGTCAATAGAAACGATAGCCTATTAAAGTGGAGAAAATCGAATTATCTACTATACTGTATTATACAGTATTGTGCTTTTAGATTGTATGGATTAAAAGGATGAAATCTATCTCTCCAAGCTGCTATATATAGGCCTATACGTTGCTGCAAAGATGAATACTTTTGTTCAGTTTCGATAATAAAATATTAAGCAATAGCAATTTGTTGTATAAATTATCGGGGATTACAAAGATTAAAATTTTGGTAAGATCTAGTGAAAGAATGTGTCTTACGTTAAATGCATTTGCAAGGATTCAATCGATAAATTTACGCGAGTGATGCTAAAATTCTCCAAATGCAAATAAGAATTAATCTCTTTATAATGTAAGAAATGTATTTATTTATCGCATTTAAATTTTTAATTTTTTTTTAAAAGATTAAAATTCTAAAAAAAAACTTTAAAGAAGAAGAGTTAAAACGACAATTAACGAGATCGTTTTAAGAAGATTTTAAACCAATTTACAATGTGTCATTTCCACTTGATGTATAGATTGATTGGAATTTAATTAAGTTTATCTATTAAAACATATTTGAAATAGCTTTTATATTAGAAAATTTGCTATAATTGGATGAAGTCGAGTAGCTCATCAGTCTCCGAAGCATTAAGAGTAGCCTATGTATTGATATATATATATATATATATAAGCTAGATAGAAACGAAGCCAACTATCGAATAACTGGGCGGTCTCGATAGCAGATGTCCCATGGCCATATTGTATGAAGACTAAATTAATCCAAGACAACGCCCTACAGAGACCAAACAATGCTCTTCACCTGTAACTAGATCTCTACTGGATTTTATCTCTATCTTCTATCATATTATCAATTTATCGATTCTATATGATAGTTGCTGAATCATGGCTTTTAATATAATAATTTTACACATAAACGAATTATTAATGTATCAAGACGTTTAAAAAAAAAAAGAACGTTTTGTCCAACAAGACACGATGTTTTATTAGAGTTCCTAAGACGAAATTCTTCAGGCTTGTATAGTAATGAAGCGGAGAGGGGAAAAAGAAAGATGTTCTGTGCACAATCCGAATAGCGGAACCGAAGAATGCCAAAAGGGAACGAGAATACGAGAATAAAAAAAAAGTAAAATGGTAGGAAACAAGCGAAACGTTTATAGCATACTGAAAGTTTATTCTTTGTTCCTCGACTTAAATGGATAATTTCTAAAGCGAGTTACTCAATAACCGAAATGTAACAAATACTGTCGGATATAAGGGTGATTGAACATCCTGTATGAGGATAATTTATAATAAAATGAAGTCACAGGATGTAATAATATAGTCACGAAGCTCTAGTTGCATATATTAAGAGGCATTCCGATTATTTTACCTTATAATTTGATATTCTGGATTTACATTAAAAAAAAATTACATTTTCCGGAAAAAAAGTCTATTTTAATTATAAAATTTCTTTATAATAAGTTATATAGAATATTATTTTAAAGTATTTTAAATAGACTCATTTGATTTTACTAGATTAATCTATAATTTAATGATGAAACGGGTTATTAAGTTTATGTTATGTATGATGATTTAATGAATTTATAGAGTTAAATGCTTTCCAAATAATATATATATATATATTGTAGAAAATCCTGTCTTCAGTATTATATCGTTACCAACAATGAGAACATTTTTCTAGAGCCAAGCTGAAAAACAGCTTTGGATTTTTCGACAATGTCTTCACAACTCGTGATTCGTTTCGGTTCCTCAATTGCAAATGGCTTCGAATACGGCCGTTTTCTTACCACAATACAACACCTTTCCAACTACGATGTGGACCATCGTTTTCTGTAGGATTACCCTTCCATCTGACATGTTTATGGAAGGTTTAAGAAAAGCAAGAATGTTATTCGTTTCCTCTCAGCATTTTAAAGTACCAGCGGGACATCAGCCAGACTTAAAGCATTCCTTTTTGTTGTTGTTACTACTCAGTCTTATTCTTTCTTTTGTTCGAGAATTTTGGAGTCTTTTAAGCAAACGTTAACATCTCGTGACCTTTCATAAACTGTGATAATATAACAACAACAAAAAAAGACTATTATAAAACATAATTGTAAGTAGTTTATTTATATATTTTTTATTATTTTAATTGTTTAGCCGATGGATAACAAGATAAATTTCCTTTGATCTTATCAGAATTTTAAATAATTTCTCTAGATTCCGTGCACAGATATAATGTTACAGTAATAGGATTTTAGTGTTTCTCGACACGTAATTCAGTTAGAAATCGCATAATTTAAGATCAAACTGCTTTCAATCAACTAAAGATAAATTCGAATAACTTTACATTTAATTGGATTATTACATTTTCTTTGCATCTTACCCGACAAACGAAGAAGAATTTTGATTTTTAATATTAAGTTTGAAGTAGAATCACTTGAAAATATTAAAAAAAAACTGTTTGCATTTATAAGATGCGATGTGTATTTTGATCAAAGAATGAAATATAGCGTACATAAGTCCATTGTTATGAACTGATTTCACGATCTCAACTTATTGATCGGAATCTCTTTATTTGGAGAAGAAAAGATTTGTGGAGATCCTTCATGAAATTCGATTGAAAAGAAATTGTTAGGAGGAGTATATTGAGGAGGAAAAGAAGAAAGGAAAAAAAACCATCTAAAGAGATTAGGAGAGGGAACGGACTACAATGGCTAACTTCCACTATACCACTGGTACCATTTCCGTATCAGGATGGAGTGGACGGTAACTAGCTCCATCAGAAATGATGACAACATTCCAGCTTGACGCATCCGACTCTACATTACATTGTTAAGCTATATAATAAGCAATGACACCGATTTCATAAAGTTTATCCTCGGTATGTGTATAAGGTTGAGGGACTGCGATGAATCATTGTCACGACTATGAACCCCGTCACCATTATCAAGGTTCATTTCGTGGAAGAATTCCTTTTTCACTAAACCGCAAATGTTCGAATTTCATTGATAAATTTTGGTCTAGAACAGAATTCTGTGATGTCTCTACGAATATTTGAAGTAAAAATCGATTAAATTTTGAAAGAAATGTTGCTTTATACTCAAATTTAGTACGAGTTTTCATTATAAACAAACGTTATTTATAATCACGTAAACAAAAGAAAGTGTTCTTGAGTGTATTTAACAGAATAAACTTATAATTATCGCGATGTGAATGGATTTAATATGTTAGAATGAAATACATGTATCCAAGTGGCGTTTTCTACGATGGTCAAATACCAAAATAACAATGTATATACACAGCAACCAAACCAGAAACATTTTAGTACTATTCATAAAATCCATTAAACGTCCTCTACATAACGTTTACAATGTAAACAAAAGCTGTTCGACACCAACCAAATTCCCAGCATTGCCACACCAAGCATCGAGAACTGTTTATCTAAGGATGTACCCAATTATTGTAACACAAGCCCCTAGGCATCAGAGAAGGAGCAGTCGCTTTCCCAAACAAGGGAATTAGATTATATACAATACGAAAAACCCATCTCATTAGAAGCAGTTTAGATACAAAGTAACCGAAAAAAATAAAAGAAAAACCCAGCAATCAAACCAATAAACGCGAACTCACCTCAAAACTTCAAGGTTTTAGAAATTCGTGAAGGAAATAACAATCATGTTGCCAACGTGCAGCCTGGGCAATCCTCTTACATACAGGCTCTCACTTGTCTGTCATGTCACGGATATGTAATCGAGGTAAACTGCGACGAAACAAAGCTCACTCTTCACAAAACTAACAATAAAATGATCCACTAGAGAAAACGTTTAATCAAAGTAGTGAAGACGATATAGCTCCAACAGAAAGTGTTAGAGTATGTTCTGCCGCTCTCCTTCACCTCTGACAAGTCGGCGCGCCTAGCCGCGCCGTTCTTCTGAGCAAAACGATAGGATAGTTGATAGGTCAATACACCAGCCGGTACGCCGAGTCAGCCGCATCTACTACACCATCCGAGGGGTGCTCGTCTACTAGAATGGGATGAGACCACGCCTTGTTTAAGACAGCCAGTCGCGCATAAGTTCCAGACTCGCTTTTTTTATATATATATATATATATATACACACACACACACACCACACACACATATATATAAATATATATTCCTCTTCAACTCCCCTCATCTTCAGGTAGAGAGCAGCTGCCTTTAACTATAATTAGAGGAGATAAAATGCTACCAACGTGGACACATTTCTTATATATATTAAGAATGGCATATATATAAAGTAAGGAAGCTAGATTTTCGTAAAATTAAATATTGAATATTCTTCGAGCTACTCTTTCATCGGGTGTCACGCATAAAAGCCATTAGTAAGCTACTAGCAAAAATATACAGTAGTAAATCTGTGTCGAGTTTAGTTGCCTTTAACCGTGTGACAAAAATCGAACGAATTCGATTCGGGGTAGAAACTTTAATTGAATCTGGATGGAAGCAGAAAATTTAATTTTATAGAAAATGTTTCCGCGTCTTAAGAAGACGAAACAAGTAAACACGAATTATAAATGAAAATCTTTCTTATATATATATATATTGAATCGCGTACGAATAGATAAATATATATTTAAATTTCGTACAACGTGTCCTTAAGTGGATTACTTTATTATTTTTTTTGGGGGGGGAGTTGAGAATGTCGCCGATCGACTGATTATTATATAGGAGTGGTATACTTTTATTCAATTTGGATAAAAGCATCCTGATGTCTTCTTTGATTCACATCGGTAAAAATGGAATAGCATAAACTTTGGCCACGATATTTATGATCATATACTTACGATCTTATACCCAGAATCGTCTTAAAAATGTAACGTTACTTCTCCTATCTTCATCTATCGAATCAAATCGTATACAATTGATGAATTTTTATATTACAGATGACATTTTCTAAAATGTTGTTAACAAAAATAGTGAAAGTAAATTTATATTTTTCCACTAGTTTTTTTGTTATATTACATTAAAGTAAAGTAACGTTAACTTTTATATACAATATTTAACACACTATCCATCATTTTATTGATTCTAATTCTTAAGCGAGGAGTTGTAAAAGTGTATAATATATTTAATACTTAGTAAAAGGTTGGCAATCACGTTCTACTAAAGGCCTAGGTTACATATAACGTGAGATAAAAAACATATTTTGCAGCCAGTAATACTATATATTTTTACAAGTGCTAGATGTCGTTCTTCTTGATCGATGACGGCCCTTGTGAGAAAAATGGTATTACGGTACTCCCGACTCAACGTGTCTACGAAATACAAGCTTTTAATATTGATTCTTCAATATTGACATTCATGTCGCCTTTCTTCGGATCACCTGACAAGTCTTTTAGGTAAGCTGAACATGTCTGAAATGATAGTTAATGATACTTTTTCTCTCTCCCAAGTATTCATATGGGTAAAATTATGACAAGCGTAAAAAATGAATGGTTGCACACTTTGCATAAATGTTATTGAAAGGATTCTTTTGTATAGATTTTTATTTAATGGCCTTCAATTCGTTTGATATTTGTCTAACGACAAGAAAGTATTTATAAAGCTCCAACTTTCTCTTATGAAAATGTATTTATAAGTAAGTAAATTTCTTTCTTCATTTTAGAAATTTTAAGCCGAATTACTACTAATTAAATTATAATTAAAGGATTTAGAATTGTTTAATTTATACAGATTTAATCGTAATAAATCCTCAATGCTAAGAATCTAATAACTGCTTCATTACATACAAACATGTTCATTTAGAATATATATATATAGAAATGTTAGTTATAATAACAATAATTATAAATAAATTCCTTAGCTTTCTTTTGAAATACAGCTTATATTCTTTATAAATGCGTGTTCTCTCTCAAAAATCATGTATTTTTTAAAGGATATTACAAGATATATATATTTTTATAGCGTACAGTTTTTCTTATATCAATATATATCCTTTAGTCTATCTACAAATGTAGAATCCCTTTACCACGTTTACCCTTCAACATATGCAACCGAGTAGAAAATATATAGTCGAGGATCACTAAATTTCCTGTCCAAATCTATTAACCTAAATTCCACTCGAATGGACTTTAACAATAATAATAATAATAATATAACAGTAAAAACTAATGGATCTAAGCATGGAAAGATACAAAAAAAAAATGATTGGAGTAAACAACTTTAATATTTAAGAACATTTAATTGATTTTCTTTACTGTCTTTTAAAGTATTTTTACTAAAAGTTTAGAAAGTAAATTCAATTCATCTGTAGTATTGACAATCTAATCTTTAAAATCAGAAGCTTTCTTTTGATGTGTAACCGTTGGTTTTCCTAACAAACTTTACGCTTTATGTACATAAAGCTATAGCTAATCTGTTTAATTGACAGCAAATGGCTGTTCAAATTGAATTTGTGGTTAAGGCACTGACCGATAAGCTCGTTTGTAATACTGTAGAAGCATCTCTCTAACTGTTTCTAGTATGGCAGAAGGAAGGTTATTTAAATAAAGTTTTTATAACGAGTCACTAGACAAATTCCTATTAAATAGGAGAAAAAAAAATTAGTTTATCATGTAAAAATTCAAAACTATAACGCTATTTGTTATAATGAAAACACGACTCTTCACATAGGAAAATAAAAAAGAGGTGACTTGTGTCGTGACTTTCGTGACATCGACAGGATGTGTATTACACTCCAGTGAAGAATATATATAATCCATTGACGTGACGGTTTATAAAAGTTGGCGAAATCGTTCGTACATAAACACGTGATTAACTAAACTAAAGGGATGAACCGTGAGGACATCGCCCAGTGTTTAGCATAAACTTTCCAAACTGTCGAATGAGTTTCTTTCGTGACGTCTATCACATGCGATCGCTTTATTAAGTTAGTACCCACCTACGTAATAAATTTGGTACTTTAATGTTAGTTTTCTTCATAGAAGATAAGCATTTGGGATGTGAGAGATGTATCTAATTGCTGAGAAATAAGGTAAAGAGAGAGAGGATAAAAAAAAAGTGATTAAATCATTTATCTTGCTTAAATGAAAGAAGAAAATGTTTATATTCTTTGCTGAGTAAATATTTGAAGAAGGAAAATAATAATAATAATAATAATAATAAAGAAAGGAAGGTGTTTTCTTTATAAGTATAATTCCATTCTTAAAAGATATGGGCTATTTAAAAATAGAGAATCAACTATACACTCAACTAAATTAATAGAATAGTTTCAGTTGGAAAAATGTGTTTTATTATGAATCGTTTTATTTTTCATGTAATAAGTACAAAACGAAATGATACAACACTTAAATCTTTAATTTTTAATCAGGGATAACTCCGGGTTTTCTCAATGAAAAATTTATGTTTAGAGAAAATTTTTCTCTTGTATTTTTTTTTCAGAACAATTTTCGTACAAAGAAAAAGTACTAAAAAATAGAAAGAGAAGAAGAAACATTCATGCTTTAAAACTTTATCATTTTTGTCCACCTCTAGGATTTATAACAATATATTTTCTTTGTGTGTGTGTGTGTGTGTTTTAGAACGAAAAATGTTTTATAATTAAAAACTTTCTCATTTTGATTAATTAATTACGATTAAACACCTTTTTTTATAACGATTTCTTAATTAAAAACGCACATTTGAGTTTGCTGTAGTCTAAAATTGCTCACGTAAGGATATCAATTGCTAAGCAGTGAAGCCCAACTCCTGTTTGATTCTTCTTTTTTTTTTTTATAGAAAACGAATGTATACAGTATAGAAAAACCGACTCGAATAAGTAAATCGGAGTTGAAAGGTAAAATAACACATAGAATAGAAGAAGGAACTCGCATCCATTACGAATTTAAAGAATATGTCAGTAGACAAGAAGCAGACAAAAAGTCAGGCAGTCGGGCGCCATCATGCTCTACTGCTCCGTTAGCGACACATATGTTGTTATTATTGGTTCACGGTCAATTTCCCGATGACGTCACGAATACGTGTGGGTCATGTGATGCGTATACTGCTATAGTATTAACTCATCCATCTTCGTCAATTCTTGACTGCTTCGCTCTTATTGGTAATCGATCGACAATGTCGAGTATGCTACAGTTTTACATTTCGCCATTTCGCGATCATCTAGCAAAGCAATTTTTATTTATTTATTTATTTTTTTTTAATGTCAAAGTAACCTCATATCTATTTGTAAGCAATTTGTAATGAATACCTCCCGTTTCTTTTAACACTTCCCTTAATGAAGAGTAATAGTAGTAGTAGTAGTAGTAGTACTCAAAGTAATAACATATTACAGTACTTTCTTGAATTCTTAAATTTAAGAAAGATTTAACAGCAATTTCTATATTAAAAAAATGTATACAGTATATATATATTTTAAAACTTTAAGATTCCATTTACGTTTTTCTAAAGTAACTTTTTATTTAACCATTAATACGCGGTCGATTTTAAGACGAAATGAGCTTATTTCATGCAATTTACATAAGAGAAAAAGTGATTTTTTTCCTCTCCCCCTCCCTCTCTCCCTCTCTCTTTCTCTCTCTATTTACCAATTAATGTATGGATACATTTTTATGCAGTAAAATTCACTAAACCGTAACTGGATCGTGTAGTTTTAAATACACTTCATTCAATGTTTACTGTTGGCATTTATGAAACTCAACTCACGTTACAACACGAAGGAAAGAAACCTTAAACTAATGCAAAAAATATCAAGAAAAATCGAATATTTCCTTCTAAAACTTTTATTGATACTAAAACAAATGTAAATAATAATAATAATAATAAAAGATTAAATTGTATGGAAATCAACTGGAGAGTTTTATTTATTTATTTATTATTTTTTTAATTTTATATGAGTAAAATTTGATTGTATACTGTAAATGCCCCAAACCACTACACGCCTATCTCACCATTCTAGTTCTTTTAGTTTCT